AGCAAGAGTGACAGAGCTGAAAGGCAGTCACCTTATGATAGCCAAAAGCAGTGATGCAAGAAGATGGAGGAAATGTAAGTGAAAGCAGGTGGGGTTTAGACTGTCATGCTCAAGAGACTCAGGAGACTATTACGCTCAAGAGACCAGAAAGGGTGAGGAAGCGATCGCTGGGCACATCTGCATGTGAGATGGGATGGCATGCCTGTATTCCCACAGGAACAGGATTGGGCTCTCTCGTGGCAGCTCAGCTCCTTCTGACGCTGAAACTTGGGCAGACACTCGTCACCCTCTGCTCCGTTTCTCCATAAAGGAAACCTGGGCACAGAGCCTGCATGGGAGCTGTGCTGCCCTGCAAGCAGGTATATGAGCTAAGCTACAGGGGATGGCTTAGGGCATGACCTGATGCGATCCATCTGCTGCAGGAACACTTGGGGGTGAGGAGCCTAGGCATGACTATGGGACAGAGCAGACTTGCCAAAGCCAGGGGAGAAGAAAGAGCTAAACTTCAGGGGAACCAGGCATAAGTAAAGATGACATCTCTTACCTGCAAGGGCCTCAAGAGATTCCCAAATCTGTGCTGTGAATACATCCTAAATGAGAGCTTATCCCTCTTCTGGAGCAAAGGCCTTGTGGAGGGTGAAGAGGTTCAAAGCACAGGATTTTAGACACCGTCACACACTGTAATGTCTGTTTCTGTGGTTTTGTTTTTTTTACATCATTGCACCATCTCACCATCACACAGGGTGAGCCAGCTCTTGGGAGGAATTTGAAGTGTGTAGAGAAGACTACTTCATGCATTATTTGAGGTGGTGGAAATGCCTGGTTGTGGAAAGGTGGGCTTAATTGTTCAACTGGTCAAGAAGCATCCTTTTGGAACTTTCGGAACATCCTTTTGGGCTTCTCTGCTGCTATGAAATTCCTGTGTGATGGTAGGCAAGCTATGAGAATAAGTATTTCCAGACATGACCCCTCTTTCCAAGTAGCTAACTTGATGCTTAGGGTTCTTGTTTCAAGAATGGTGATCACTCAAAACCTGCTTGCAGTTATGCTGTAGATGCATACAAGCAAATGCTGAAATACAAAATAAGCAAGTGAGGGACATTAAATTACAGACTCAAATGCATGGCTGCTTCACAGCGCTGCCTCTCCACACTTTGGGTCCCCAAAGGTGTAGCCTCATTAACACCTTCTTATAGGCCTGGGACATTGTCAAAATAAGGGATCATTTGTGTTTCACAAAGATGGCATTAAAATGAGAACTAGAGAGAAATGAGGATGTTCCTTCCTCATTGGGATGAGTTTTGGACTTTGACCAAATACATAAACACTGAGAACACATAGAAAACATGATGAAAAATAAAATAATGAATAGCTGCTCAGTGGGGGTTCCAATGAAAAATACTGTGCCATCATGTAATTAAAGCAACCTTAATTGAGGCATTTCCTAATCTCAGGGTACTTAACTATGCCTCTTTATTCTTTCTTTCATAGTGTGTTTTGTTGCATACATAACACACTGAGCTACGCCTCCAGCCTCTCTTACACCCAATTCTTAGTAACTGGGAAAGACAAAGGTCCATACAAATTGATAAGAGATTTCTGGAGAAATAACTTATATGCTGCACTTGGTTTGTATCCAGTTGCTAAAGTACAAGTGCAACAGACACACCAGTTTTGCAAATTTATACAGAAGCAGTTACTCTTCTCCTGGAAATTCAGTTGTAGGAAAATTGCATAGGATTTTGGCAAGACTTACACAAGATCTAACACATTGAGTCTTGTCTCCAGATATGCCTGTACTGCAAAAAACAAAACAAAACAAAAAACATAAAGGTTCCTTGCAGGATTTAATCTCCCATTTTCTTTTACGTCCAGACTTGTTCTGTTTACTCATGTAGTGTCATAAATCGTGAACTTAGTTATAAGCTTTTTTCACTTCTGAAAAGTGCTCATAAAGAAGTTGAACATGCATAAAATTAAAGACACACTTTTAATATAGTCTTTAAAGAAAATCCTTCAAATCACACCCCACCCCCCCTGAAAAACCACCACAACAGTGCTTAGGATTATCTATTTATTTATTTCAGTTAAAACAAACATACAATGTTTCATTGAAACTGTGTTGCACTCCCTGCCAACAACTGGAGCTAGACTGTTGGCCTCTAACAAGACAGTGGGTATTTACATATGTACACGGATGTACCGCAGGACACCTGAATTCGATGGCCTAACAGACATGTTAGATCTTAAAAGCTGTTCAGTTGCTGCATTCAGGAAATCATCACATCCATGGTAAATTGTAGAGGAAAAGTATACATGAACCTGAACGATGCTTTCTGATGGACCCAAGTAACTCCCGTGTTTATTGCAACATATACATTTGTAATAAATACAATCTTAGTGTTTTCTTACACACCGTAGGTGTAACACATCTCTTCCATTTTTGTAAGCATTACATTTTGTTGTAAAACAATCTTTCTTTTGACAGTTGTTATACAGATGTACAACGTGAACAACTCCTTGAAATGATGCAACAATCAGTAATGAGAGGAATATATACATAAATCCCGAATTCCAAACCTACATTATATACATTATACTTACAGTATATACACACATACAATTTTATGTACATAGACTATCATAAATATTGAAAAATAGGTTTAGTTTTAATGGATTAATGTTTTATAAATAACATGTTACATCTATGACTGAAATATCATGGAAGACAGTCATGTCTAACTGAGGTGACAAAACAGTGGTTTAATACTGAAGCTGCTCTTTTGTTTGTAATGTAGGTAACTTTTAAGCAGAGAGGTTTAGAAAAAAATATGCAATTAAATAAATCATATGTTGGAAATCAACCCAGCCAAGGGGAACTCAACTTCTGCAGGTGGAGAACTAGTCACCAAACAATACAACACATCACGTTAAATCTGGAAGTTGCTACATTCAGAGAATGAAGTGACATGTATGGTATGTTATGAGGTGCCATCTCAAACATCTTCCTCCTCTTTGGCTGCTGAGAGGACCATGTAGTAACTTCTCATATATACCTCCTTGCTCTTCTATGGTTATGAAGAGAAAGGAGGCCGTTGAGTCTCTCTTTTTAAATACTGGCAAGGGAAGCACTTCATCCCTTATGTGCTACAAATTGCTCAAAAGGTAGACATTTTAATCCTCTTCCACCTTTCTGTGGAAGGTGGTTTGCAGAGGAGGAAGAAAAGCTGCCAAAGTACTGAGGAGGTACATGCTCAGCACTTCTGTGGAGATCAGGTACCATGGGACAGTCAGTCAGCCATGGATGTACAGTACCTGAGGCAGAGAAGTACCTACGGAGCATTAGGTAGTGCTGACTCCAGGATTGTTAATTGCCAGTTGAGTACCACTGAACTAGTAATACAAACAATATCTAACTTCTCATTACAGTTTTACACTACAGACTTAGTGACCAGTACTTATAGTCATGCAGAAGTATCAATGCAAAATACCTGCAATTTCTTTTCATAGATTTTAAATGGCTGGGCAGAGATTGACATCTGCCAAATGGTGACTGTCATTTAGATTTGTTCCCAGTTAATTCTACAAGAGCAAAAAAAGTCTCAGGCACTGTGTAATCAGTGGATTACAGGCCCTTCCTTGTTCCCTCTGACACAACGACCAAATGGAACTTTGTAAATCAGATTTTTAAAGCATCATGTCAGATGAAGACAGGTGACCACATTGCCATGATTATTTCATTAACAATCTCTATCTAGGCTTTTGTACCCAATATTGTGTTTGAGAACCTCTTATATGCCAAGTATACTGTTATACAAGTGTAATTTCTCTTCAGCCTGGGATAAGAATAAAAGGGTAAACATGCACTAGAAACAAAACAGCTAATCACAATCATACAGCACCTGTTTCATCAGCTAGCTAGCTAGGGCTCATAAGAAACTTACCTATTTCTGAAGCAAACAAGTATGAGATGACTATCCAGCCTATGAGGTTATCTTTAATACTACTATACAGTATAAATTGGAAGAGGAATCCCAGTTGTGTATGTGAAGAGTTTGTACCAAGCATGAAATACTGGTGCAGTTATTTTGTGGATTTGACTCAGAAACAGAATAGTCAAGTAATTCAGAATCCAATAACGGATGAGTAATTTGAGAAATACTGTACAGTTTTTGAATATTATACATCTAGTAAACTACATGAGGACCTTTTTGTTTTCCTACAGAGTGTTTCAAGATATATTGGACAGAAAATAAACCCCAACAAACATTGCTACAGCTGACAATGGACCTTAGTAATAAGAGAACTCCCAGAGGGAGTTTTGTATTAATGGCATCGTATGCTCCAGTGCCATTCAGTCTATATCTACAACAGGAAAAAAACCCAACAAAAAACAAAACAAAAACAATAAAAAAGCAAACCCCCCAAACCCTGTTTTACTCAATTGCACTATTGAGTACCTCAAGAAGGGAAACGTCAACACCATCTTTACAATTTCTAAATTAACTACATTTTCCTCAAATGCACCCATTTTAAAGGGTGGCTTATTAAAGCTTGAAAATTTGGGTTTCCACACCATTTTTGGGTACTAAGGTAACTGTAGTTACTTAATTTAAGTAAGCTGACAACTGATTTTCAGAATTATTTTCACTCTACCTCAAACTAAGGGAATTTCCTGGGAAGCAGTTATAATTAGAGAATTTTGACTTGAATTCGTTCGTTTTCTGTTTTGGTCATCAGAAGTACTTTTTAAAATAAAATTTCTTCCAGTTATGCCTCTACAGAAAGGCAAACCAGATTTAATTTAGGACACTGATTGAATATTTTTATGAGCTGTTCTATTTTATTCTTTCATTCTTTCTAGAAAAATGTTTCTTAAAGTCAAAATAGTGCTTTTGAGGTCCATAAGAATTTTTGGTACAAAAAATAATAGTGTTTCTCTCTCTCTCATTGGTTATTTAAACACTTTGCTGTAAATTAAAGTTATTTCTCACATCAAATGGTTCCATTAGGCACATTCAAGTAAAATAACAAAATATCCAAGTAACAATGACGAAAGCCAAACATGGCTTGATAAAAGTCTACAGAGGGTTCTGTCCATTCTCTGGAATGGAATAAACTTGTCACTTCCTTCAGCCAGACACTCACGTTGGTTTGATGTTAGTATCCACTTCCATCATGCAGAATAGTTTCTTAAAGACAAGAGTTCAGGTATTCTACAATCAGAAGAACCATCAACAAAGAATCTGCATTTTAAAGGAAGCTGAATAGCTCATTTTCGTTCTCAGTAGGTATCTGAGTGAACACTGGCATTTGAAGTGGAGTATTAAGAGATTAAACCAGGACAGTTAATGGCCGTCAGATGCAACATTCTGGGTCCAGTCTAGAATAATCAGTGTCATACACCCAGTCATCACAAGTATACCACTTAGAAAGAAGAATGCAGCCTGGAAGGAAAGAAAACATAAACTAAGTATTTTAGATTCTGCTACTACACCCACAAAGTCATGTGTATTTATGGCACAAAGTGAAAGAGACACAAGATCGCAGTAAACAACAAGGAGTTAGGAACCTTTTTCATACTTGGGGTCCCTTTTCAAATAAAAAAGTACATTTATTTCCATATAGCAGACCTCACCCTCAACTGAGCGAAGTTAATGTAGCTGCTGATAACAGTCAGGATGTGCCACTGCGCTGACTGGATTCTGACTCAGTATGTCTACGATTTGATTGTGAGTCAGTATGTCCAAGATAAGCAAGAGCACCAAGATCAGTCAGGATGACCCAAACGATTGGTGGAAGTCAGCTTTTATGGGGTAAATTATATAAGTAAGTCTTGAGGGAAGATTTAAAGGAGAACAAGACTTTTTTGGTACAGTTCTTAAGGGTAACCTGTTGAAATTTGGTTCATGTCAGCAAGAGAACGGTCCAATTATTGTTGAGATTGGGGGATGAGGGGTGAGAAAAGTCACTGAAGTGAAGTGAGCCTCATGATGTTATTTCCTCAGTTTTGAGTACCTATGCAACTCCCACGTGTTAACTAAGATAGATAGCATTAAAAGCCAATTCAATGCCTGCCTTCGCCAGGACTTCAAAATTCTTGGATTGTGAAGAAGGAAACTATAGTTCTTGTTCTGAATTAGTAAGCAAGTGTAACTATTCATATTTGTCTATACATACCCCAATCTTTTGCACTGACTTCATCGGTTCCTTCTTCACTAATTTGATATAGAAGGCAGAAGGGAGTATAAAGATCAGCATGGCAGCCGCAGATGCACCTGTATTAATAAAGCATACAAATAAATATTCATAAACAGGTAAGTATAATTTAAGTAGATCGCAATGGCATTTTCCAAGATTTTTAAGACTACTTGAACCAATGTGAAAATGCTTACCAATGAATCCAAAGATGTCTCGGATTGTAGGGACAAAGATAACAAGCATGTTGGTAAACGCCAGAAGAGCAACTGTAATGGAACAGTGACGCCACCATCTAAACTCCTTCCCTGCCCACAACAGCTGGGTAATGGAACTGCGAATCTGTTGAAGAGGGGAAGGAACAACAAAAAGAGAGTTTAGTCTTCATTGTGGAAGTCCGTGAGTGTCACCCAAATTAGACCTTTTTTCTGAAAGTATTTTAACATAAATTTCCTGAATACTTCAGATTTTAGTAAAAGTTGAAAGACATTATTATTTTTTCTTTTTTAATATTTATGTCCTGCACTGGAGAGGCAGCTCTGTGTTTTCTGGTCTGTTTCTCTTCTCAGTGATTTAGATTTTCAAAGCACAGCCAATAATGGACTAAAAACCAAGGAAAAATATCTGTTTTGGACAAAAATAAATACCAGGGATTTTTGTAACATCTAAGGATGCTGCTGAACAACATCCACCTAAATGGCCAGAATTCCATATTCACAATGTACTTACATAAACACAAAGAATTTTGTAAGCTGATAATATAATGTGCAAGTACTTTTATAAAGGGGCAGTCTGTTCCACCTCCCCAGTTAAACAATACCAGGAAAATACTATAACGGAACGTATACGTGTAACGGAATGTATTTGTATCTACTGCCTTGTAAATTATTCATTTATTTAAATTAACAGTATAGAGATATTTCCTCAAGCTTATTGGAATAAATTTCTTCTTTCAGTTAAGAGAAAAATCCTACAGATTAATAAATGGGAGTTACCAAATCAGCACATGACTGCAGCAGGACAGGAGGTGAAAATAAAATATGGCAGTAAGAGTAAAGTAAATTACTTACTGGGAAAATAACTACAGGTACAGTAAGGGTTACAGCCATAAGTACAGCGAGACGCACAATCAGAAGAAGAACATCAGCACCCAGATAAGCAGAGTAGGTATGAAGCAGTTCTGGTTCAACTTTTCCTATACAGAAAAAACAGTACTTTATTAGATGTAGTTGACATACTTCTCAAAACAAACTGCTTCTGCTCTAGATCTTAAGCAGATTTTACAGTTAGAGCAACATGAATTGAAAGCCTCAATAGGTCCTGTAAGCATGTCTCCATTTTAGACAGGGATAACTTGAAGGAACTGCATCTGTTTTAATCCAATTTTAATTCTGTGCCTTGGGATTAATTCTGCACCTTGGGCTTAATTCTGCTACTGGTCTTTTTTTGGGTGTGCACTTAGGAAAGTATTAACCCCACCACCTAACAAACAGTGTATATTTAGAACCCATACTAAATGCTTGCTTATTCTAACTTAAAAACAATAGCGTGGTTCTGCAGCACATAATTCATTTAAAGGAAAGCAAAGAAGGCAGTATTCACCATAAAATGTCAGGTATCCAAAGAGAGCAGCCAATAAATACATGAGGAACATGGCAAAAAAAGATACATAGGACACATTCATCATCCTTTTACGGCTTCGGCTATAAGAAAGAGAAAAAGAAACATTGTTAGCAATGAGAACACACTTTTCTATTACTTCTTTTAGAGTAGTGATATTACAGACACATATCCAAGATTTACCTTTTCAGTTCTTCATAGATGGGAAGAATTGCAGGATGGCACACAAAAGAAAATGTTAGGATTGGGACAGCATAGACCGTCTGAAAAACAAAAGTACCTTTCTTAAGTATCTCAATAGACATTAGAAATCTAGTTTTAAAAACTTAATCTGTAGATGTTTCAGTTTTGACTTAGGCACCAGTTAGTTTTTGATAAAGACTGGCTGTTCTCTACAACTGAAACTTCAGCAAAAATTAAAACAAGTTCGTATTTTCTTAAACCCAGACCCTCAGGTACCAAATCCTCTCAAATCTCAGTGAAGTCCAATCTGAGTTGAATGTATTAGCATTCAGAATTCTGCTCTGCATCTCACTGGCTTAAGCCATTACTAGTACTGATCTTGGTACTGGCTATTACACATGCTTCTTCCCCATGTGTGGAGACTCACCACTGTAACTGGGAGCATTTCATAAGAGTCAAGACTTTGTGACTGGGAAGTTAAAATCTATCCTAAACCTTGGCATACATTTCCCAAATGCTTTTACTATTTACTTCATCTTCTTCTGCAATCTACTTTTCAAAATGCTTTACTAACTTGAGAAAGCTTGAGAGATGCTGTGCTGAAAAATGAGAGATGAATTTATTGCCACTCATCTCAGGCAGGCACCTCAAGCTCCTCTAACTTCTGTGTATCTGGAGTGTGGAGACACTCAGTCTAAAGGAGGTGAACAGTGACTTACTCTACTGGAACATAAAGTCTTAGCACATCCCCAAGTTTACAAATTGGCAATTACTCGAAGGAAAAATGACCTAATCTATCTGCTATGTATTTAGTCTCTCTTAAATGTTTTCACCAGAGTTTGATTTTTAGTCAGTTACCTGTGAATTGAAGATGAAATATTTTGGCTTGCACATATCATCACTTGTTATGTTTTGATCCATCAAAGGTGCCAGTGTCACATTTACTAATGTCATGTTCATGATATCAGTGTCCATAGGACAAGGAATCTGAAACATCTTCCAAATTACCTAGAAATAAAGTCATGTATTTAGTGTTACTTTGACAAATACAATACATGAAACTTTTCAGAAACTGTTTAATTTCACTTTGAAATGCACTTTTACAAGCACTGGAAGTCTACAAGATTATACTTACAACAATCAGAAAGAAGACCATGCAAAGTAAGGAAAAGCCACTGGTATAGCCCAAATATCCTGTGTTAAAAGAAAGATAAAGAAATCTAAGGTACAGTAAACAGAAACACTATTCAAGTCATAACATAATGACAAAATATATTCTGTCAGTGATCTCTTTAGATTGCCATTTTCTTAGTGTTACATAGAACAAGTTAATTATTCATTAACATCTACCAATCTAAACTCAGAAACAAAAATTCTCAAAGACATATTAGGGTGTATACATACAGTGAGTCTATCATGTTAAGCTTTATAATTAACCAAAAAATTCCCACACTAACAACTATGTGAATTGTTTATTACATGCTAAGAATGATTAAAGGGTTAATTCTAACAGAATGCACTATGCCTTTTCCTTTCTGTTTGTACTGATTCACTTAATTTGTAGAAGGTAGTAACTTGAGAAAGTAATTCACATCAGGACTCTCAGCAACTAAGGTTCTACTACAGGATTCTCTGAACAAACAGGGTTCTAATTGAATTATTCATATATAGCACTGAATTACAGACATTTCATATACTGGTATGAATATTCTGCTACTGCTTGAGATCTAAAATTAAAAAAAGTGACTTCTATTTACACTTCAAAGACAATATAACTGCTCAGGGCTAGCATACCTGGCTATTATAGGATAGCTAATAACACTATTCGCTAGTAACTACTAACCAAAATAGGTTAAACTTTGTGATAAGAACACAAACAGAAAGTTACTGTTGAGCCTTGTTCTAAAGAGACAGCCTATATATCGACCTTTTGTTTTCCACAAATACATCTGTAACTTACAATACTTGTCTTGATTTTTTATACATACATATTTTTATTATTATTTTTATTATTACTATTTTTTTTTAATTATCATTGGTGGGGTTTTTTTTAAGTAGACTGACAGCAATTACCTAAACACTGATTAGTCCCAAGACAAAGTCTGGGGGCAGCTGTTAATTCACATAGTACTTCAAGACTCAAACACTGTATCAACCCATTTCCCCACAAAATTTTCAAGTGTGTTTGATTGTACTCTACTGCTTACCTAAATTTTTCAGTAAGGACAGAGGAAGAATGAGGATGACAGACACCAGCAGCACTAAATAGTCACCATTAAGATACCATTCTCTGTAGAAAAAAAGTAATGTTTGTAAATAATCAAAAGTATTTAAAAATGATGACATTTCCAGTTTAATCTTCATTCTTATGTCCTACAACATACAGGATTCTTAACTAAAACGTAGTACCTGATGTCACAAAGAATTAGCATTCAACTTACTATATGGACCTAAAGCCCTACAATAACTTCTTATCTCACCCCAAACCTGCATTGTGCCTTTCCTTTAGTGTCCTTTCCTAAAATTAATATGTGGAAGTCAGAAGACAGGAACGTAAATGACTGGTCATTAAAAAAAGTCAGCTGGGATCAATCACGGAAAAAAAAAATAATTTGCTTAAATGCTGGTTCCCAACTCTCCAGACGTATCAGAGTATCACAGGGTCCCAGCAGGGTGGTGATCCATTTTTAATGGAAATGAAATTCTGTTGGGTGCCCTGTGGGAGTTCAAAACAGGTGAGGGCTGGAGTTAAGGCAGTAGCTCAAGCCCACTGGCTGGGAAAACTCCAACAAGCACTGGGAGGCACGTTTAGTCCTTTTCAGTAGGGAAACTATGACAAGGACCTCACATTAATTGCTTTCCATTTATTCCATAAGAAGCAGTAGCTATTTTTTGACAAAGCATTTTGGCATGTTAAGAGATGAACATCTTCCTTTGAAACACAGAAAAACAAAGTTAGATCTGTGTAAATATAATTTCACTGAACTAAAAGAAAAACTGATCTTGAGTATTTAATTGTGGCAGGGTAACTGCTTTCTTCACCTGTCCTACAGAACCATCCTATATTGTTTAAGCAATTTAAGTAACACTAACCATTTATTCCAAGATACTATTACTTTATATTCTGTTATTGTATTGTCTTTACAGCATGTATTTTAAAATGGACTGTATACTATTTAGATAAACAAAGGAAACCTAATTAGAAATCTGTGCATTACAACTCAATTGCTGAATTATAAGCCTATATATGGAAGTGGAAATGTGGAACAACTTTTACAGACTTGCTCTGGTTTTATGCAGTAAACGCAAAAACAATTTGGTCGTGTTTTTCCCCAGTTTTACCTGGGATAACTAAATGTAAAAAATGTGTTTTAGAAAGTTCAGGCACGTCGGACCTTAACATCATGTACCTTTTGTTGTCTTTCTTTTAAAATGTAATAGTCTTGTGGTAAATTTGAAAGAAATCACAGCACAAAGACTCCTTGCATTTGATACAGTCATAAGAACATACAGTGTTACTGTGCATGCCCCACATGGAGGCCCTCAGGAGTTTCAGACCAAGGACTTGAAAGTTTGTCTGTGCTGAAGAGTAAAGAATGGGATTGTGCAGCTTCAAGACACAGCTGAGTATTTTAAAAACTGCTACATGAATTTTAACAATGGAGCTAGTATTTGTAACATTATCTCAGAGTTCCAAAGTATCTTCTACAGTAAGCATTATTTTGGGACATTTAAACAGGTGAGCGCTTACATTTTAGGCACCAGGCTGCCAGAGTGGAATCCATGCCAATGGTAGCCACCCAGACTCCCCTAAGCAATGCATGGAGAGAGTCAGTTAAATGGGGTCCACAATGGACAGAGCACTGAGAAAAGATTTGCTTTAAATCAGTGTACAGCTACCTAGTACCAGCCAACAAGAAAACACTTAAGATACAAATCCCAACTTCTTAATCTTCCTGCCAGATTGGCAGAGCAGCAGCTGTATTCAGAGAGATTCACAGCCTTCAATATTCCCCCTTGAACTGCAACCAATTTCGACTGTACTGTCCTCTTTGGCGATGGGACAATTAAAACTACTTGTCTCCAAGCCCCCTTGTAAGTACTGGCTACTCCAGAGACTTCCTTACAAAGTGAAAAATAAGGGCTTGAATTCATCCAAAGGAGGGAAATGAATTTGTAAACGTTACACTACTAAGTAAATGGGGTGGGTGCATTCTTTGAGTACATTAAAAAAAAAAAAAAAAAAAAAAAGAGGAGAAAAATAAAAAAGATGGCTAGCACTGTTGTCATGACAATATCTATCACAAGCTGTATGAACACCACCAAATGGCTTGAACCCCTTGGGGAACACAGGCGGAAAAATGCCTACCTTCTGAACTCAGGCTTAGGTGTAAGTTGGAGTCTTGAGCTGCTCAGCCCTCTCAAGACTGGGACACTTCAGGACAAGGCACAGAAGTACAACTCTGAAGAGTGAGATTTATAGCACTTAACTCTATCCATTGGAAGTCAGGCATCTTGTTTCAGATAGCTGTTTTTACACACCCTCTCAATATAGAGTGGTAAGATAAATTGTTCTTTGGAGATGCCCAAAACAGGTATCTAAGCCAGGTGCACTGAACTAACCACTACAGAGGATCACCTTTCTCCACTGATTATACCAAGACCAGAGTGATAATAATAATCTCAAAATCTAACTTTCAGAAGGTACGGTTAGATAAAATGAACCCTATCCAAGGCACCCACTTTAAAAGTTAAGCAGGAAAGCCACTATGGAGTCAAGGTGTCTCCAGGGCTAAATGGCAGTGTGTCCACCATTTTTGTCTTGGGCACATAAACTCTGGTTTAGTTCAATGTTTAGTTCCCATGTCTTTCTGGAAACTGCCCCTTAACACATTCATTACAAAACTGCACTTTAGTCTTACATTTAATCACTTCCCCCAATATTAACACTAGAAAACCAACACAACCAGCCCAAAACAGTTGGAATACAATTAAAGAAAATGAAACAAAAAAACAACCATGGCTGCATTTATCTTCCCTTATTGAGAGTATGTACTGACTGGTACATTAACACTTACCTGATGTTCTACAGAACAGCTTTCTGTAATATGATGCAATACCTGCATTTTTCTACCCTTTCCCCAGGACAGGCTGGTTCTAAATGATGTGGAGCACTCAAGGGAAGAATAAACTTACTGTATCTCTGTCTGAGTAAGAAGCTACCCTACGGTGTACCGAACGTGGTCTTCATATAAAAATATATACAGTCTCCATATTTGTTTCTCCTAATAGTTTCTCTGATGAGGAGTACTAACACCTACCCTGTGGTCTCTTCGATGTTCATAAATGTCTTGATGACCAATGGTAACTCATATTTCACTATGAAGAGGTAGCTTGACATAGCTGTAGGTGAATAACATCATAGATCATTACAAATATAGAATATGACACAAGATGCAAGAATCACATAACATGTTTCATAACTTCACTTGAACACAAGCAGTTAATGAAGACATGTTGTGTGGGGAAAAAAAAAAAGTCTCCAAGAGTATGTAGGGAACAATTAGTATTGGTAGCACAAACATTTTAAGATCTTGTCCTCACCTCCAATGTTCTGCATTGTAATTGATCCAGAAGCAGCAAGTTTTCCAGCCATACCAAATGCCTTCATTCCCAACTGTTCATACAATAAAGATCCTAAAAGAAAACAAAATAGTCCATTGGAAGGATGTATTTCAATGATACCATAGGAAGCAAATACTGTATGTTTGTAAAACAGTGATTTGCCATACCTCCTTCATTGGCAGTCTTCAAAAGGAGATGCACTGAATATAAAGAAAATATTGAGACAAACAGCAGAAGTATCCTGGGGGAGGAAAATACGCAAATTTTTAATAGCCATAAATGACTTACTGTATCCCTATTAAATGAAGATGTATCAAATATCAAAATTAATCATGTTAAAATATTATCTTTTAAACCCCTATAGACTCTAAGGCCAGTTGAAAGCATTCTGAAAACCCAACTGATGACTAGTTTAGAAAGGGTTTTATACTAAAATTGCATTTCAGAGGCATACAGATAGATTGTAGCGCGGGACTAAACAATGTTTATATTCAAGGTTAAGCGGCCTAAGCACCAAAAGACCATTAAAATCGGCTACATTTGATATAAATAACAAAGTGTCAATGGGAATGGTCTTTGTATCATTGTAAGAAACTGTATTTCTCCTGTCTTCCTGTTCTTGTTCAAAAATGACCATCCGTTGTCCACCATAATTATCCATTTACTGACCATCCCGTTGTGACTAACTGCAGCTACAGTGAAGATTATCTCTTGGTCTTAAATCAGCTTTTTACAGCTTAAACCTGTGTTATGTCTCTTCTCATAGGAAGATGAAAACTGCAAAAGCCTTAAAGAATTGACTGAAAATTCAGATACATCAAGAGCTGTGTCTCCAATGGAAATACATTAAAAAATAATGTTAATTTAAAAAAAAAAACCACCTTTCTCTGCTCAAGTTACTCTTCATGTGTGCTTACATGGGAATCGCTAGCAGCTTGTTTATCTTCCCCACAGCTTTTACATGCAATATGTATTATTTCCAGAAGCACATTTGCAACATGTAGAATTCGGATCTCTCAAGAACACATCTCTCCCACAACAAATGCACTTCCTGGAGTGGCACACTAGGGGGGACTTCTCAACTGCTGAAGAACACAGCGGAAAATTACAACACATTCAAAAAAAAACCTGGCCTTTCTTATACCTATACAAGCATTCTGCTTTATAGGAAAGCTAAGAATCAGCAAAATGCTGCTCAAAAATGGCAAGCTCCATCTAGAGTTCCCAAAATATTCTTTAAATTTTCTTTTGAGTAATTTTTAATGTTGGCAAAATTAGTAAACACTGCACAGAGAACTGGAAACAAGAACATTTGAAAAAAGCTTCGCAGATCTGTATGAGGAATACAGGAAACTTGTGCTACTGTGCCAGTTCAACACCAACCTGCAAATAAACCTCTGTATTTCTGACAGGCAGAAATTAACGAGCACATAATTCAACCATCAAAACAGGACAGCAAGGTGTGAAAGGTTCATTAAACCAGCACAGACCCTGGACCCCTCAGTCCTAACCTTGAATGGCTGAGTAAGTACGGTGTTGACAAAATCAGTCAGCAAACTCATCTTGAAGCTCAGTTTCTGGCTTCCAGACCATATCATTCATTGATTTAGTGCTGACACAAGTGACAAGTCACAGCACTGACACAAGTGACTTCACGCAGTCTTCAAAGAATTTACTGCCTTAATCAACTGCATCTGGATCTGAATCTGTAACCTAGTTATTAAACGGTGTCTGTAATACCCTCAGTGTCATCATAAATCCTCAGTATCACCAGTGATTGACTGTTTTCCTGCCTTGGAACTATACAAACTGCACTAAGCTTTGCAAGGTTTATCTTTTGAGTCAGTACTAGTGCAAATAGATCTGAATGCAGTATCTGAAAATGAAAAGGTTAACTGAACAACTTCAGCACCCAACTGTTAAATTGGCAGTTTTGAACATTTTTGTCTTCAGAAAAAAGTATCCTTGTTACATGTAAATCTATTCAAATATTGAACTTTACATTTGTTTTTTCCTCTCCTCAGTTCTAATTATGCTGATTTTATGTGCTGCAGAAGATCTTTAGGGCATGAAACTGATGTGTAGAGAAATTAAGTATCTATCTCTTCTGAATTCATGCTGCTAAGTTGTTCGTTCGGTTTAGCATCATCTAAATAAGTGCAAGACTTAGTAAAAATTTAACTAATTGTCATGTATTTAAAATAAAAGCCTTTAGATAAAATCTTTACACACTGGTAGTTTCCAAAAGAAACCTGAATGCCACCTTGATATACTGTGAAATGTATGGAAGTAAACCTGGCCTACGACTTTCTGGAAATCTGGTAATCGAATAAAGCAAATTTCAGACTGAACATTACTCTTCACTTGCTCTTGAACACTCAATACATTTATCTATTTCCAGGATACAAATACAAAGTTAATTTAAACACATCCATGGATTGTCATTTGCACTCAGACACTGATACTGTAAGTTGTGTGAGCTGAACTGCCTCCAATATATGAAAAATGTACTTTCCCAAGTACATTTTTATGCAATGCACATAATTGTTTCCTTATGTCATTTCCAATTACGTTACTACACTCTTGTCTTGTACCCGAAAGCTTCTGTCAATATAGACATTGCAGTAAAGATATGCTGGTTATCCTACATCCCTCCCTTGCAGGGAGATAGCAATTTTTATAGGTGAAGCTGAAACCAGGTCCCTGAATTGAGTAAAAGCACTGCAATAAAAAGGATTGCTTTATTCGTGTAAGTGCATTGCATCTGTGTTCCTCAGCTGACACAGTTGTGCCTAAAGGAGACCCTGATCAGTAGGACTGGGCCACAGAAATTTTTAAGAGTAGACACAACCAGACTTGCAAGAGACAAGCAAAATAATCCTCTTCTGCCTACTTTTTTCTTCTGTCTGCAGCATGATCCTGTACTTCTGGTGCAATTATGACTTCCAGTAATTGAAAGATTTCTGTTATCATTAATTTCAGTGAACTCTAAAGGAAAAAGCTAATGCAGACTTCAGTCTGTTAAGCAGCACCTCTCTTTCCCACTTGGACAATGGAATTTTCCGAGGGAAGTCTATAGCTACTTGTGGAGAAACTACAGCTAAATAAAGGAAAATTCACTGTAAAATGTTTTGTGGGTTGCAGAATTTGCAATGAATCTGTTTAATTTCTGCAAGTCCTTCTGAATGTATCAGGATCTCTTAGTTTAAAACAAGCCACAAAATCTTAAAATGCAATTCTGCACCCTACAGCAATGATAGGTATTTTGGAAAGGTCATATTCTTATATCAAGTGCTTTCTACTATTAGTTATACAGCAGAAATAATATTTTCTTTATGAACCAAAAGATACTTACACAAAAAGAGCAATTCCAGTGTTAGCCATGGCATAAGAAAGACCAAGGATGCCACTACCCACAATAGCATTGCTCAAATTAAATACTGACATTCCAAAGGAAGTAGTACCCGGATGCTGAGAAAAGGAAGACAGGTAATAGTTAGTAGAAAATTATCGCTCATTTCACTATTAAGACAAACATAACATTGGCAAGAAAGGTTTTGTTTTGAAATGTCATTGGCATGTACTTACATACTGAGTTTCATATTTCTTCTTTCCAAGATTGGAGTCGAGCAGGAAATTTTGATTTTCTGGATCAATATCCGCATAGTGGCTGTAAAAAACATTGCATCATTAGTGACTGTCACGGACAACTTGCGTACTAACTTCCCATTTAGCCATTCCAAAACACTTCAAAGGGAAGCGAGAAAACCAGCGGAACGACCCGAGCACCACCACCACCCCATTCCCCCGTGCCCTGCCAGCGCACAAAGCACCCCGCTGTTTACATCCGTGGTCACTTCCGTGTGCCCGTAACGCGTGCCAGACACGCGGCACCTCCCGACCCGAGGCGGCGTTTTAAACTAAGGCTGAAGTGTGTCGCCGGTGGCCGCGGCTGGGTGCGTGGTCCCGGGGCGGCGGCGCGCCCTCACCTCTTCATGGCAGCGGGCTTGGTGGGGTAGGGGTAGCTGAAGTCGTTGCTGTTGGAGCTGTAGCTGCTGCTGTCCTCGTCCGGGGAGATGTTGAACTTGCCCACCTCGGCGCTGCTCA